TACTTTCTGCTTTATGTTTCATAGCTTCTATTTTCGTTGCAAGTTCTTTCATTTCTTCACTTCCTCCTTTTTCTTTTTCATAATTAATTCGTAATTTTGTTAATTTCTCTTTATTTTCACTTAATTCTTTTTCAATTTCTTGTAGTCTTTCTTTAATCATTTTATTATGGTCTTCATCACTTTCTTTAATGTCTCTTTCTAATGCTATTTTCTCTACATTTAATTGTGTTTCTCTTCTTTCTAATTTATCTATTTCTTCTGGTTGTGAATTCTTTTGTGTAAATAATGTAGCACATGCTTCATCAACTAAATCAATTGCTTTATCTGGAAGAAATCTTCCATTAATATATCTTTTACTTAATGTTGTTGCTGAAACTAATGCTGAATCGGTAATTGTTAATCCATAATGATTTTCATATTTCTCTCGTATTCCTCGAAGAATGTATAATGTATTTTCTTCACTTGGTTCTTTTACATAAACTTGTTGGAATCGTCTTTCAAATGCTGGATCTTTTTCTACATATTTTCTATATTCTTCTAATGTTGTTGCTCCAATACATCGTAATTCTCCTCTTGATAACATTGGTTTTAAAATATTAGCTGCATCCATTGCTCCTTCTCCTGTTGCTCCTGCTCCTAATACTGTATGAATTTCATCTATAAATAATATAATAGGTATTTTACTTTCTTTAACTTCTTTTATTACTGCTTTTAATCTTTCTTCAAATTGTCCTCTATATTGTGCTCCTGCTATTAATGCTCCCATATCTAATCCAATAACTCGACATTGTAAATTACTTGGAACATCTCCTTTAACTATTCGTTGTGCAAGTCCTTCAACTACTGCTGTTTTACCTACTCCTGGTTCTCCTATTAATACTGGATTATTTTTTGTTCTTCTTGATAAAATACGAATAACTCGTTTAATTTCTTCATCTCTTCCAATAATTGGATCCATCTTTCCACTTTCTGCTTGTGCTGTTAAATCATTTCCATATTTCTTTAATGCTTCATACTGACTTTCTGCTTCTTTTGTTTCTACACTTTGTCCTTTTCTCATTTCTGTTATTTTTTTGTTAAATTCTTTCACATTAATTCCACTATTTCCTACTATTGTACTAATTTCTTTCTCTTCCATTAATGACATTACAATTACATCTATTGCAAGATATGAGTCTCCCATTCTTTTTTGTTTCTCTATTGCTCTTCTTAATACTTGTTGTGTTGTTGGATGAAGTCCAATATCAACTGGTGGTGGATTTTGAACTGGGACTTTATTCATTGTTTCTTTTATTTCTTTCTTTAATTTATTAACATCACCTCCCATCATTTCAACTATTCGGATAACAATATTTGATTCTTCTTCAACAATTGCTTCCATCATATGAATTGGCATAATATATGCATTTTTTCTTTCAAATGCTATTTCTTGTGATTCTTTGAACACTTGAACAGTTGCATCTGTCCATTTGTTTGGGTCCATGTTTTATTTCTAAATGCTTGTTATTTGTTCAAGTTCCTTTAAATACTTAATGAGGATGATGTGATGACTTATTGTTGTGTTGGTTGTTATTCATATTTTGTTATTCATATCAACGTGGAATAACGTGGTATCATGTCATCAAATAATAACATAATTTAATAACAAAAATGAAATAATATCACAAATATCAATGACAATGATGGTTTAATCATTGAATGAACATTAAACATTCAAAATATATGAACGATTTAATTATTATGTTAATGTGAAATTAGTGTACTAGAAAATATTCTCTTACTATTTGTGTAACTTCTGTTAATAGTGATGAACAACCACATCATAAAAACAACTCTTTCCAAATGATGTAATTTTTGATTGGAGAATAATCGAAGTCATTCAAGAACAATCATAAAAACAGCTATCGTAATTTAACAATTGAAGTAGTAAAGTGATAGAAGATTACCCTGCACTTTCTAAAACAAGTATTTCTAATTTAGTAATAGAAGGAGGGATAGTAATTATTTAATGATAAACATCCATAAAAACATTGACAGTCCAATTTATTAATTGAAGTAGGAGTAGTGATATTATTTATTCTACATTCATAAAAACAATAATATCCAATTCTAGTAAATGATGTTGAAATATTAACTGATGTTAAAAATAAACAACCAAAAAACATGTATTTCATAATTCAAAACAGAAAATGGAAGAGTAATTAATGTTACCTTGAACATTCAATAAAGTATTCATTTACTAATTTATAAATTGAAAAATGAATATTAATGGAATATAATGAAGTACATTTACACAAACAATTATTACTTATTTAACTAATTGTAATTGGAATAATAAATTCATTAATAATTGTTTTTCAATTTCTCTTCCATTCATTAATTTTAAACTCTACAATAATTCAATACTAACTAATGCTGGTTCATTATAAAATATTCTTTTCATTTATGAATTTTAATTTTTCTAAAGGAATTGATGTTAATAATGAACATTATTATAAATTATTATATTCTATTTGTATTATTTATTGTTAGAATGTTAATATTTTTAATGACCTATATCCCAAAACCAATTATCTTTTAATTCTTTATTTATTGTTGGTATTGTAACTTGTGTTAATTGACTCTAATATTTAAAACTATATTCTCTGAGTGATTTAACTTCTATTGATATTGTACTTACAGATGTATTTCTATCATATTGTGTATATTCTATATTTTTACAGATATTTCCTTTTTTCTTTCTCTTGAAAATAGGTTGAATAATTAACTTTATTCTATATTATTTTTTAAATATTCTTCCATCATCAAATTCTTCATCTTCTTCATTATAAATATGAAATGTTTCAATATTATGAAATAATTTTCTTGAATATTTATCTAATGGAATTGGATTAAAATGAAATCTTTCCATGTTTCCTTGAAATCTTTTAATTCCTATTTCTAAATTAATAAAATCTTTAATATCATTAAAATATTGTGATGTTATCACTATTTTATTGTATCCTATCTTCTTTGTTTTCGTTCTTTGTTATTTCTTGTTGTTGTATTCTCTCTTCTTGTTTTAATTTTTTGAATTTATTCAGTTTTATTCTTTTCATTTATTCGTACATCTCAAAACAAAATTTCAATGAATGAAATTGTTAATGTTTTGTTGTTAAATTGATGAGTGCTTTTCTCTTCAATAAATTGAGAGTAATTCTTTTGGTTTTTCTTTTTTCTTTTTGGTCTGTTTCAGCTCACTGTAGTTTTTATTGATTTGATTTTTCTTTCTATCGTCTCATAACACTGTTGAACTCTCTGTAGACACTCATCTTTTGCAAATACTCTGTTTCATTGTTGGTGTTATTGTAGAGAGTTATTCTGTATTGATTGGTACTAAAGACTGAACAATATTCATTGCTTTGTGTGTGAATAAGAAAAATAGTTGGTATTCAAAAATTGAGAAAGAAAATATTTTTGTGGTAAATATTATTATTATTTTATTATTTTTTGTTTATGTTCATTTATTAAAAACAATATTCTTTCCATAAGTCATGCTTTATTTTTGTTTTTCTTACATTTTCCTATTTTTTTGTTGATTTATTAAAAATCAAGTTGGTATTTTTATTATCATTTAAATTCAATAACAGAATGATGTCTACACATAATTCAATCAGTTATTCAAACGTTCAAAAAATAAATAAAAGTTAATAAAAAATAAATTTTTGTAAAAATCCTTTAGAATGATGACAAAAGAACGTGGAGGATTTTCTGGAATTTAGTAAATTAAATAAAATTATAAAAAAAGTAAGAAATTTTTTTTCAAACAATCCTTATGTAGTTTTCTTCTTAATGTTTAATTATTGATAATTTAGAATAACTTTCATTAAAACACTAAATAAATACAACAAATTATTGAACAGTATTAACTCAATGAAAGTTATTTCGTTTAACCAACCACAATATCTTCATTATACTGATGAAAAAGATAGAGCAGAGAGAATTGTTAATATTCTCTCTAATAAAGAAGTATTAACTTTGTATGATTCAAATAATAGTTTATTAACATCTAAAACAATATTTAATTACATCCAAAGAGAACGAGATGTTTATTTTGTTGCAGAAGATGATAAGGACAATTGTTTTGGTTGTTATATATCAAAAGCACCATCATATATGGGAATTGGAATAACAGATCAACACCATTACATCTTTTCTTGTTCGTTAGAAAGTGATGAAATAAATACATTTGATTATCGGATACTCACTACATCTGTTTACATCCCATTAGATTTTACTACCATTTTTAATTGTCCTTCTGCTTTTTCTGTTGACGACCAATTAAATTGTTCATTCTCTAAAGATATTAATGTCATTTATATGAAGGAACCTAACTCGTATTGTGATGTTTCTAAGTATTTTCCATGTGTAGAAAATCAAAATTCAATTCCGTTGAAAAGAATACGTTTCTTTACATCAAATACTATTATTAGTGATAATTTGTAGAATATAATTGATTATTAATAACTAATGAGATAAGATATACACTATGTAAGTAGGATGTAGTAGGAAAGTGAAGTTAGTTAATGTTAACATAGTAAATAAGAATAGTGAAGATATATAGTGATATAGATTTATATTTAGTAAATGAAGTAAAATGTAGTTTTCTTTTCTTTAATTTTCTTTTTATTAATTTACTGTATTATTTTTCAATTAAAAAATAAAATAAAATGATTATATTTATTCTTTATTTTTATTCTTTTATTCTTTTTGTATTATTTTGTATGTTTATTTGATGTTGTGTATTATAAATTACATATTAGTCAAATACAATTTTATTTAATCTATTCCAT